CACGCCGTACGCCGTCCACCTCACAGCGCCGAGGGGAGGGGAGGGGGGAGGCCGCAAGCAAAGAGGAGAGGACCATCTGGGTCCGGCTCCGATCCGATTAAATGCACGCCCTCTGATCGGGTGGATCGCGATTGCCACCCATGGCCATGGTTGTGTGCGAAATCCCCGTCCTGCCCTCGCGCTGCTGACGCCCGGGCCCGCGGCGCAGGCAGGGTCGCAGCGCCCGAAGAAGATATCGCGCCCGGCCCCACCGCGGGCACCCCTTCCTCTATTTATGCCTCTACACCGACCGACCTCACACACGCACACTCACACAAAGCTAGCAAGCCACACTGCACTGCACGCTACTCGATCGGTGCCTCTCTCTACCACTACTACTACTCTGCTCACTGGCATACTGCATTGCTGCTACTGTACGCGTAGTCTCTCACAGTGCCCTGCCAAGAAGATCTCCCGTAGTCAATTCGCTTGATCAGGCCAGGCTACTCAGTACTCACTTAAGCGAGAGGAGAGGAAGAAAAGGGGGAGGAATTCTTTCGTGGGAGCGTTAGGAGGAGAGAGAGAGGGAGAGAGAGAGAGCTTGTGCTACGATCGATCGGGCCGGGAAAGGCGATGGGGCGATCGCCGTGCTGCGAGAAGGAGGGGCTGAAGAAGGGGCCATGGACGCCGGAGGAGGACCAGAAGCTGCTCTCCTACATTGAGCAGCAGGGCCACGGCTGCTGGCGCTCGCTGCCGGCCAAGGCCGGTGAGCACCCCAACTTCATCCAATTTGCTCTTGCACCCCAACTTCATCCCCGGCTGCTACTCCTGCATTCTGCTTTGCTGAGTTGTTTCGGTCATTTCTGACATGATGAGAACGGGGCGTGGTCTTTGATTCGCAGGGCTGCAGCGGTGCGGCAAGAGCTGCCGGCTCCGGTGGACCAACTACCTCCGGCCGGACATCAAGAGGGGCAAGTTCAGCCTGCAGGAGGAGCAGACCATCATCCAGCTCCATGCGCTTCTCGGCAACAGGTGATCACCCATCCCATCATGGACCGATTGTCCTACATATGCCGCTTACTTTGCACCCAGAGTTCACTTAACTCACTGCCTAATTATGATGGAATTTGATCTCTTATTTAGTGGTTGCAATAATTTTGACTGCCAGTAGAGTACGTAGTACGGTACTAGTCGCCGACTGCCTGAGTCCGGGGAAGTCAAGAACACGCTAGCTACACCGTAGTCTTCACATATTTATGGGTAGCGGGGTGGTACTTACACTGGGAGAGCCGTGAGATACGAGTAAAACGTAGCTGCTGCATGTACTGGTCTTGGCCGAGTCGTAGCGACGTACACATGTTTTCCCAGCATCGCGTGAAATTTACCCATGACATTGTAGCTCGAATTGCGATCTCACTAGCACGTACAAGACCGACCGTCACCTCTGTTTTAACTGTTACTGTCTATCTGTCTGTCTTGCTGTGCAGTACAGAACTAGCTAGTAGTAGTGCTGTTCTTCTGCCTCGTACTGTAGAAAAAAGAGAGAGAGAAGTGTCCATCATTCAGCCCGTAGAACAACTATGCATGAACAGTGAGAGCGTTTTGCCAAGAAGAAAGAAAAGAAAAGTAATAGCGAAAAGAAGGGGTTACTCAATCAATCAATGCACGCATCAGCTTGGGAAAAAGGAGTGAAAAAGTTGGGCCATGTGTGGCTCTCCCCCGAATTTTCCTTTCTCTTTTTACATGATTCGGCATTGAAGCTTGTCATTTATGGATCGGGGAGCCCCCATCGTCGTGGACCAAGCCTAGCTTTGGGCCACTGTAGCCACCTGCTCTCTTGCCATTTGACTCCCACGCTTCCTCCTATCATGCATCTCTGCCGTCTCTCTGTAGTACTACTACGCCGATGCCATGTCCACTCGCACGGTTACTTTTCGAGATGGTCTTCATTTTAACCATGATGCATGCAGGTTTGGTTTTCTATCGGAGTCCTGAGGTTATTTTTCTTGCGATCGGCGTCTGTGTGTGTGTGTGTGCAGGTGGTCAGCGATCGCGACGCACCTGCCCAAGCGTACCGACAACGAGATCAAGAACTACTGGAACACGCACCTCAAGAAGCGGCTGGCCAAGATGGGCATCGACCCGGTCACGCACAAGCCGCGGTCCGACGTGCCCGGCGGCGCGGGCGGCGCCGCCGAGGGGGCGGCCGGCGCGCAGCACGCCAAGGCCGCGGCGCACCTCAGCCACACGGCGCAGTGGGAGAGCGCGCGGCTCGAGGCCGAGGCGCGCCTGGCGCGGGAGGCCAAGCTGCGGGCGCTCGCCACGTCCGCCTCCTCCTCGGCGCAGTACCTGTCGGCGGCCCACGCCGCCGCGCCCGGGCTCGACTCGCCCACGTCCACGCTCAGCTTTGCGGACAGCGCGGCGCTCGCGTCGGTGCTGGAGGCGCACAGTGCCGCGGCCGCCGCGCGCGCAGCCATGCAGCCCATGCAGGCGTACGAGGAGGCGTGCAAGGACCAGAACTGGGGCGACGCCGACGCCGCCGACGCGGGCTTCGCCGAGGCGGCGGGCTTCACCGGGCTGCTTCTTGACGGCTCGCTGAACCAGAACCCGAGGCCGGCGGCGAGGGACGACGCCGAGGCGGGCGCCGAAGCGCACGAGACAGAGGAGGAGAAGAACTACTGGAACAGTATACTGAACCTGGTCAACTCGTCTGCGTCAGCGGTGGTGCCCGCCGATGAGGCGTACTCGCCGGCGCCAGAGTACTGAGTGGTGGCGACCTCTGCACATGCTTTGCCTGCATGCACCCGAGACCCCACCAGGCACATGACACAGTAAATAGTTATTAGTGGTGACCGTGGAATAAGATGGGACTAATGCTAGTACTACAGTTAATCGCGTTCTTGGGTTTATTATCTGACACAGTGCTCTGATTAGACGTGCGAGCAAGAAGGTTTTATCGATCTTGGAGCTTGTTGCCTGCAGCTACCTTCGGCAAAATTACTTACATGTGTTGTAAAACTAAGACAATGATCTCGGATTTCTTCTTCTTCTTCGAACAATGCCTGATAATTTATCTACTTAACTATTGTAATCTTATATCCACTTTCATCAACCATATACAGTAACGCTAACCAACTTGCTATGGAGAGGACCGTCGACTTCTGAATAAGATGGGATGGGACTAATGCTAGTAACGGTTAATCGCATTCTTGGGTTTATCTGACACGGTGCTCTTATTAGACGTGTGAGCAAGAAGGTTTCGTCGATCTTGGAGCTTGTTGCCTGCTTCTTTCGGCAAAATTCTTACATGTTCTCTAAAACAAAGAGGATGATCTCAGGATTTCTTCTTCCTCTTCTTCTCCTGCTGCATAGAACCATGCCGATAATTTATCTACCTGACTATCCGATAAATTATCTTCTTCTGCAGTGTAATGAAAGCATACAACAGTTTTCCACCCTTCAGGTTATATGAGTGAGGTGGGGATGGTGATAGTTAGACATTGATCTAACACTTAGCTTTTTTTTTTCCTTCGTTGAGATATCACTAAATTTGTGTTCAAAGGTACTTAGTTGTAACAAAGATTTTGTATCATGTAAACCGCAAACCAACTAATTGAAGTAATGCTTGGTCAAAGATTTGTCTTAATGGAACCTATTTTGTCGTGCATACAAGAATGGAGGGAGTATTGCCAGACAACCCTGCTATACGTACAATGAATTCTCATCCCACACTCATACGATTAGAGACAGCACGAGACAATTCAGTTTGTGGGCCACAACATGCATCAAGTTTTACTGTCTGGTCGTACAGGTGTCCGACGAAAAAGTATCGTATGCAGAGCAATTTCGATTACCATATGTCTCCATTAGGGCATCTCCAAGGGTATACATCAAATCTCTTCTAAATGTCTGGAGGCCATCCAATGGGGGATAAATCAAATGCCGGTGGACATGAAAAAGTGTCTGAAATCCTACAAATCGGTAGCAAACGTCGAAGTGATTGGGGGAGTCTTGACACACTACGGACAAACCTTGGACCCACCACAAACCCATTTTTTCCGCCTCCTCCCTTCTTTCTCATCTCTCCATTGGACAAGGGGTGTACATTTGGTGCACCGGATTGGATGGCAACCCCCTATCTGTTGTCCGCTTCTTTTGGCAAAATTGATTACTTGTTTTGTAAAACTAAGGCAATGATCACGCAACTTCTTCTTCTATCTAATATTAGTTTAGCTAATTTTAAGATTATTTGTTTTAGATAAGTCAAGTGTAAAGTAGACACATGCATACACATAAGCCAACCATTATATACACTTACTCACATAACATCTAGTGAAGATGTAAGTTATATAACTTTACAAAGTTCACACTAATGTATCAATATGGACGAGAACACCATCTTCCGCCGAAAAAATAATCTGCCCTACTAGGACACATATGTCGTCAAAGGATTATCCATGTTGATAAATGGTGTGAAAATATACATGACTTTGATCAATGACTCTACTAGATATTTCATGATATATTTGTTAGAAATAAAAGATGAGGCTTCGCACTACTTTAAAAGCTACTCCCTCTGTTCCCAAATACAAGTCTTTATAGAGATTCCACCAAATGACTACATACGGAGCAAAATGAGTGAATCTACATTCTAAAATATGTCTACATACATCAGTATATTGTAGGCTATTTGAAATGTCTAAAAAGACTTACATTTAGGAACGGAGGGAGTATAAAGCTAAACTAGAGAATCAACTTGCTCAATAGATCAAGAGGCTTGGGTTGGATCATGGTGGAGAGTATTTCTCCAATGAGTTTAATTTATTTCTGTGAGGAACATGGTATAATCCTTGAGAGGATGACTCCCTATTCGCCCCGGTCAAACCGGGTTGCCGAACAAAATAACCACACTTTAATTGATTTGGTTAACGTCATGTTAGACACAACGAGACTTTCCAACGAACTGCGGGGAGGCTTTGATTACTACAAGTCATGCCCTAAACGTAGTTCCCATGAAGACTAAAGAGATTACCCCATTTAGGGAATGAGAAAGGAAAAAGGCTTATTGTCGGTGTCAAAACCGGCGGATCTCGGGTAGGGGGTCCCGAACTGTGCGTCTAGGCGGATGGTAACAGGAGACAAGGGACATGATGTTTTTACCCAGGTTCAGGCCCTCTCGATGGAGGTAAAACCCTACTCCTGCTTGATTAATATTGATGGTATGGGTAGTACAAGAGTTGATCTACCACGAGATCAGAGAGGCTAAACCCTAGAAGCTAGCCTATGGTATGATTGTTGTTCGTCCTACGGACTAAAACTCCCCGGTTTATATAGACACCGAAGAGGGCTAGGGTTACACAGAGTCGGTTACAATGGGAGGAGATCTACATATCGTATCGCCAAGCTAGCCTCCCACGTGAAGGAAAGTTCTATCCGGACACGGGACGAAGTCTTCAATCTTGTATCTTCATAGTCCGGGAGTCCGGCCAAAGGTCATAGTCCGGCCATCCGGACACCCCCTAATCCAGGACTCCCTCAGTAGCCCCTGAACCAGGCTTCAATGACGACGAGTCCGGCGCGCAAATTGTCTTCGGCATTGCAAGGCGGGCTCCTCCTCCAAATACTTCATAGAAGATGTTGAACACAAGGATAGTGTCCGGCTCTGTAAAATAGTTTCCACATACCACCGTAGAGAGAATAATATTTGCACAAATCTAATCTGCTGACGCATTCCGCAGCGTAACATCATGCCACAACCAAGCCTTTATTCGTTTTACTGTCCCACCTCAGCGTGTTTAGCGAGGCAGTTTCCTTGGCACGTCCTGTCAAAGTAGAGATCGTGTCCCCTTATTCCGGGATTCTCATCAATGCGGGCGTGGGTAACCCAATCGCGCCGTTAATCGCGACGCTTGGGAAATAAGCGAGTTTTATCAGGCTGGTGGGGGCTCATAGTTTCGGCCGCCCATATAAGGGGATAAGGATCCACCCTTTCCATTTACGCCCTCTTCCTCCTTCGCTTATCCATTCCCGCGCACTCGAGCTCCAGCGCCCCAGTTCGCACTTCCCACCTCAACCTTCTCCAACCATGTCTGGAGCGGGAGGTAGATAGATGGCCTTCACCGTCACGGAGGGGCACATCAAAAAGTTGAGGAAGGCCGGATACTTGTCTAATGACATCCCGCACCGGCTTCCAGATGAGGGGCAACTCATCCCCACCCCTAGGCCCCATGAGAGGGTCGTGTTCCTCCCCCATTTCCTCCGTGGACTGGGCTTTCCTCTTCACCCGTTCATCCGGGGGCTCATGTTCTACTACGGCCTGGACTTCCACGATCTGGCCCCGAACTTTATCCTCAACATCTCGGCGTTCATCGTCGTGTGTGAGGTCTTCCTCTGCATCCAGCCCCACTTCGGCTTATGGCTAAAGACCTTCAATGTCAAGCCGAAGGTTGTGGGCGGCCAACAAGCGGAGTGCAGAGGCGCCATAGTGGGCAAGATAGCCAACGTTACATGGCTCGAGGGCGCCTTCGTGGAAACCATCAAAGGGTGGCAATCGGGGTGGTTCTACATCACCGAGCCGCATGACCCTGAATGGGCAGCGGCCCCCAAATTCCGATCTGGCATCCCCACACGGCTCACCTCATGGAAAGAGACGGGCATGTCGTGGGGTAATTCGGCAGAGGTGACCGGACTTCAAACCTGCGTCAAAGACCTGATCGACAGGAAGGTCAAACTCGTCACCGTAGTCCAGGTCATGCTCTTCCGCCGGATCCTCCCGTGTCAACGACGGGCTTTCAATCTGTGGGAATTCGACCCGGCCCAGCACCAAACTTTGTCCAGGCTCTTGGACACAACGCACGAAGATGCCTGGAAGGTGCTTTTCAAGAGCTCTGAGGTTCACCCTCCCATTACCGAGGATCGCAGATTCTGCGCGAAGCGTCAAGCCAGCGCGGTAAGCTCAATTTACCCATCACGGGGTATTTTTTTTTCATAGTTTGACTCTATGCGGGATCTAAACTCCCATCCCTTTAACAGGACTGGCAGAAGAAGGCCGGACAGATCAACTGTCCGGCTCCTTTGCTTGAAGACCCAGCGGACGCCCGTTTGACAAAGCTGCTGGTTCCGGTGCCCCACGTGGTGCCCGAGAAGAAGGCCACGGGGACTCGAAAGAGTTCCCGATGCCTGGTGGTGTCGGACTCATCGTCCGACGACCCCGAGACACCCTCCGCCTCCGAAGACGAGGAGGAGGAAGAAGAAGCCTCTCCCCCTCCAGCGGGGGGAGGAAAGAAAAGGAAGGCCGCCCCAACTGGGGAGGCCGGAGGGTCCAAGAAGGGGAAGACCCTTCTTCCGGACTACGCCTCCGACGCCGACGACGGCGGAGAGGAATGGCCATCCAGGGTCAAGCCCCTGGCAAAATCGTAAGTATCCGGATACCAGAATAAGTTATGACGTTCCTCTATTGTACAGTACCTTCTGACGCTGAATTCAATTATGCAGTCCACCCAAGGCTCAGCTCGGTGATTCGTCGAGCGGCTCCCTGGACTCGTCGGATGTGAGTAGCGCTTCACTCCCGACGGCTACCTCCCCCCGCCCTACGGACGATCCCGAGGTGGAGTCCCAAGAGGGGCTAAACCAGGAGGAGGTGGTCCTAGAGGCGCCACAAGGCGACCTCCCGGACCCCAGGCCCAAAGGGGACGTATCCCCAGAGGGATCTAAGTCCGGCCCTAGGCCGGACACCACTCCGGAACCTTCAGTGATTCCAGAGTTCG